TAAAAGGCAGAGCACATTATTTGGGGTTTAGTACTTGCCACAACGAAAAACCTGCATATCATATGAGCAGTCTCGGGTGTTTTTGGGAGTCAATGGATCATTTCATGAAAAAATCGCAGAATATCACCTAGAAACAAACACATTACTGTGATATTACGGTTTCTTATACCTTGAACGAAATTAGCCTTTATTTAATGACTTGTTGTTTTATCACAGAAATTCAAGGTGTTGTTTTCATGCCTTGCCCTGCTGGTCATATCATCCACTCAACCTCTTTGATATCACAGAACAAGGTAAGTGTTCCTTTGATATGACATCCCAGCAGTAAATATACATTGTCGGGCAGAAACACAACAAGAATTAAGAAAGAGGACATTAACGAGGTCTTAAATTAACTTCAAATTCTCTCGAAGAGAAAACTAAAAAAAATGTATGGTCACCAGTCAGCAGAATCCTGGATGCTGAGGGGTTAGAAATGTATTGCCTTAACATTGGCCTGTTTTACATATGGTTGTTCCTTTTGAATAAAGATCGTTTGTTAAAAGTTCAGTTTCTGTATTGTCATAGTTTAGTAATTGTTGCGTTGACAAACAACATAATTTTTAACTCAGTGCCATCAATCTTCTTTTCAACATTTTATGTTTGGTTTTCGACTAACGATAGCGGAACTGGATCCATCTACATGTATGTACGTCGAAGTAAATCTTCCTGTTTTCAAATGAAATCCTCCTTGTTCCTAGAGCTCTGTGAGTAAGTATTCATTGGAGCTGTCGGAAGGCGGAAAAAATTCAAGGAAGAGATCACAATCGATACTACAAGGGGAACGGAGACTCTCCACGTACCGAGGACATCGTCTAATGAATCAGCCGGCGATATAATTTACGATTTCAAAAGGGTAATTATTTTGTTCGTATTTGGTGAATCAACCACCTTTACCTACCCAGGGGTAGGTAAAGGTGGTGAATGGGAGGTTTAAATTTCCGTCGGCACTTCCTCTTCGTACCGTGTTATGTACTGCGTTTCATCCCAATAGTACTGAATCATTCTCTAAATACCTTTCCATTTTGCAAACAGCAAAATACCTATCGCATTTTGCAAACAGCAGCGCCAAAAACTAATAAGTGACCTTGTTAGACTCTACAACTGATTCCTTGATCACAAAACGAATCCTTCACTAATTTTTTTTCTTGCGTGGGGCATTTGAACGCAATTTTGACCCAGAATGGTGGGAGTATGAACCAACCAGTCTTCCTGAGGTTCAAATGCACAGGGGACGGGGGGGGGGGGACTGGTGAGGTTTTCAATTGATCTACGCTCAACTAAAACTCAAGTTAGATGTACGGGACGTGATTTTTACACTAATTATATTTCTTTCGTGGTTATTAGGTGAGAGTTGCCAAATCGGGCGTAGAATCAGACGCTGGATTTGTAACCGGGTATGTAGGTGGGTAACCCGACGGATTTGCAGACGTGTGTTTAGGAACCGCCGTTGGCGTCGTGTATGCCATAATGTCCGATGGCCGATCTGTCGCAGAGTTTGTAGATGGGTTACATGGAGAGGATAAACTCTTCTGTCTCGAACTGAGTTTCCCAGTGTCTTAACTTTTTTTATAATGAGAGCTTAATCCAGTGGCGCTTTCCTTTGAGCTAAAATTCAGTTCCATTTTGAAATCCCATGAGGTTGAAAAGATAATAATGTGCATTTGGCTTAATAATATACACGGATCTTTCTGCCAGAGAGCGTTCCAAACACCTGGCATTTCGAGAGCTACGCCAAAGTAAGCTGAATAAGAACTTTGAATAGGATAGGAGGACCAATGTCCAAATCGCACCGTATGAAGCTCTGCAGCAAAAGGATACGTGCCTATTAATATTGAAAGGCAAAATGGACATAATCATTTCATTATCATTATTATATTTATGAAAATTAACAAATTCAACTTCAGTCAAGATGTAAAAACTTCAAATACCATTAAGGGCCCTTTCCATTTTCAACCAACTGAATTGCAAACACAGCATGTTCCCCAGTAAAAATGAACCTTTGTACCTTAACTTCCTAATTGTTTGTAATGACATTCCAATTCCATTGCCCTAATACATTATATACTTCTCTGATACCACAACTTCTACCTCAACATAAATCAAGTATCCATGCTTTAAATACTTCCCAATTACCGTTTCATCTTGCAAAATAAGCAGAGCAAATTTCTTATCGCGAATTTTGTCACGATTAAAACAAACCTGCGTGTTTTTGTGAGCCACAATTCAGTCGGATTTCACTGAACAATACACTGAATGTTAAAATTACCAACTTCAAGTAAGTGTAAAACTCGACCAGCCGAACTATTTCAGTATGTGGAATTTTGCAGATTTTGAACTTTGATGATTTGTGAATTTTGAAGTCTTGACATTTTGACAGCCTTTAATCAGTCTTGGTCAGCGAATCACATTATTTGAATCATTCTAACAAGGATTCTGATTTGCATATAGTAGCCTGTTTTATAAGAGTATAGAGCATGCCGACTACACTTTTGTTCTCTTTGGAAATAATTTTTTTCCGTCACCTTTGATCATCACCATTTTTACCTGCCTAGACCCCATACCTCTGTTGGACATAAGTAAGCCTCCAAGTTGACTCAATCACCACACCATTTATCTGATTATTATCGCCAAACTAGTTTCCTTAACTCTTTCTTTTGTGCTCCTGTGACCCCCTATGAAGTTCAACTCGAAATTCTGTCTATTCCGAACAACAAAGCACATGAACTGTACTCGTGTCCAACTCGTATTCTAAAATCCGCTAGTAGTATTCTTTTTTTTTCTTTAAGCAAATATATTTAATACTTCAATTGAGCTTGGGAGTGATCCTACCAAACTTAAATATGCAAAGGTAATTCCAATATACGAAGATGGTGACGAGAGAGACCCTAATAATTACCAACCCATCTCACTTCTCTCAGACTTTAATAGAATCTTTGAAAGATTGATGTATGTACCTCTCAAATCTTACTTAAGTAAGGCAGATATTCTTGTTCCATCTCAATATGGCTTTAGAGAGAAACACTCCACCCGGCATGCGACGCTAGACATTATCAACACTATTCAAAACAACATGGACAATAAGTTGTATACCTGTGGCATCTTTATAGACTTAAAGAAGGCAATGGACACAGTGAATCATGAAATTCTTCTGCAGAAATTATATCATTACGGAATAAGAGGAATAGTTAACAACTGGTTCTCTTCTAATCTTAAATTGCGTTCGCAGACAACTAACATTGGCCCCTATATTTCTGAAAAGGCTCTGATTGATGGCGGCGTTACCCAAGGCTCTTTTCTGGGGCCTTTACTGTTTTTGATGTATATAAATGATATTACAAATTGTTCAGATAAGTTCAAGTTTTATTTATTTGCCGATGACACCAGTATTTTATATGGTAGAAAACCTTAAATCCCTAGAATTAGAAGTAAACGTTGAGTTAACCAAGCCTTGTGGATGGCTGACAGCAAACAATTGAACTCTAAATGCTAAAAAAATCTAATTATGCGATATTTCGAAGTTATAGAAAGAAGCTATCTTTCCAACCGACGATAAATATTTTTGACATCGATAAAATGTCATATTCACCATTAGAATGCAAGGATTATTAGAATGCAAGGAT